AAACTAGTATCTCAATCTTGTCTGAATATGCGAGATTTTGTTGCATAAGATTCAACAGAAAAATACGGGTAAATAATATTAAAAAGATTGTTAGCTGAGATCGAATGAGACGACAATCTTGTCGGAAGTAATTCTGGAATCTCAACCAACGTATGTATTCAAATTGAAAGAGCGAGCGAGAGAGAGAAACACAAGTTTACTGATGATAATTGCGTCTATATTAATGGCGACTTATGCATAAAGATAAAGATTAGACTAGACATTTTGAAGGACAAAGGAAAAGACAGCTATAATGATAATTACATATAAATCATATTCATATGCAATATGTTACATCATTCTCTTTTTGAACAAACATATTTTTAGACTAACAACGGAAGAGGCGACATCCGTTTACCAACAAGTTCACTTTTTCAATCATATGTTAATGAAAAAGCTTGTCAGCGTTGCTTCTACAAAGCAAAAATGTGAAAACTTCTTATTGAAGTGTTGGGCTACAACGTAGAACATGTAATAATATAGCGTAAATAATTTTTAAAACTGTTAGTGCCTAACAACATCAGATCAATAGTACACTATCTGTTACTGGTCCATTCAGTAGTTGTAAACACCATTTTAGTAGCTCTAAACATCAAATTTATATTGAAATTTGATCAATCACAATTCCATCCCGAAAGTTTACAGCTACTGACAAAAAACCATCTGCAAATCACAAAAATCCTCGTATATAAACTTTATACTTCAAACTTCCTTTTCCTTCGGAAAACAGACAAGTCCTAGGAAGTTTTCACAAAAGATAATAGTGCACGTAATGTTCATGTTCAATTCACTTGGTTTCTTGATGTTAAATCACAATGATACAAGCACAGTTCATCATTGATTTCTCAAAGTTTCAGCTCAATCCGTTCGGTGCACATAAAATCGTTCTTTTAGCTCTCTCATAATGAGACTCTGTCAGTATACTCTAGAGACCGGGAGCCCGATCCGATCGGATTTGGTTCAGGTTAAGTTTTTTATTCAGTGCAGGTCTCTAGCACAACCTACACTGAACAAGAAAACTTAACAACGTAACAAACAATAATAATTACATCAATCCTTAACGAATATAAGATTAAAATATACTATTAAAATTGATTCAGTATTGAACAGGTATGTGGCGAAAGAAGATTATAATTGCAAAAATGATATCAGCATAGAAGACCATTATTGTCTCCATCTCTAGCAATTGAAACAGATCTGGACCAGTGGATTTAAAATGAACAATCAGTTTTATGAGGCTAATTTAAAATACGAACTCATTTAGAGAAAGAAAACGTAGATGTGAGCAGCTCCGTCTGAAATTCGTTTAGATATCCCAAAGGGCAATAGTATGACTTATCGTTGGCTTTCTCGTGTTTTGCAAAAGCCCTGTTTACTGTCAAAAATAAGACTTTTTCATTCTCTGTCAATCTCTGGCCACATGTGTTACCTCCCTTCTAAAACCAACACCAGCTCCAATATTTTGGATGAAAAATTTTGGGACACGAACAGCTTCATTTTGACCATTGTGGTTGCAACATAAAGATTGAATCAAAAGTTTCATCACCATACGTCGACATGGCTGCTATTTCTTGAAATTTTTGTCAGATCTGATTTGTAGTTACCGAGACAGATTTTTACCGGGGCTTAAGGGAGGGTGCACCCCCTGATACTTGGATATGTTGTACAGTTCGATGGGCCACGCCACAATAACTTCCCTTTATGGGATCTCAAACGTTAAAAAACTGATCAAAATTGAGTTACAAAATGTTTTTTCCATGTATTTTGCTGGAAAATTAAAAAGTATTTTGAAAAAAACCTTGCCAAATAATACTGCATAACCGATGCATGGTGGAAAACAGCTTTTGTTACAAAACATGGGCACAATGGCCAACTGCGGGGGTTAACGTTGTCTGATTTTCAAACTTTTCTGTCATATCTTTTAAATTTAAATTTAATTTTTTTCAAAATTTTTCCATTAACCCTGAAAAACAGATAACGTTACCCCCCGCAGTCGATCATTGCGCACAATTTTTGTAGCAAGACTTTTACTCCATCATCCTTCGTTATTGCAGGATCTTTGGCAATAGTTTCACACTGCAGTTAACGAGTGGCTTCACACACCCTTATGTTTGCTCTCAAAGTATGTCAGTTTAAAGAAGACGATTGAATTTGAAGGATTGTAACATGGTGGCTAGATAGCCTAACGTGTTCTCTGCAATCCTGCGCGAGGCCGATTTCTGTATCTGTTATGGTTCTCGAATGGCAGCCATTTACTTGACGAAATGATAACCAATTACGGGTGATTCAGGAAACTCCCTGCTGTCCGAGAACCACAACAGATAGGGAAATTGGCCTGCGCAGAATTGTAGAAAACACTTTGGGCTATCTAATCACCACGTTATAATTAAAAATATACCGCAGGTTCAGAATCCGGCAACCTCATCGCTTTTCAGCCGTGAGGTACCCCACTTGAAAACCCGAGAGTTTTAGCACGAAATATACGTATTTATGTACGGTAGAGTAAAGCCTTTTCTACAAAATGCTGAAAATCCGAACTCTCTATCTCTTTTCGTTCTCGAGTTATTCAAAAAACATCCATGGCCGTCCTATTGAGAAATCCATGGTAGAAAACCCGTTTCCTAAAACTGAAACGGACAACTGCTTATCGGTAACATTTTGAAAAGAGAAATACAAGAGTTTGTAACGCTTGGAAATCTCTGTCGAATAACGTATTACTTTACCGTTTCCAATAAACTGTTAATTTGCAAATAAAAGTATAAGGTACCAGAGTGATATAAATTAGTATTCATTAGCATGATTAATTATAAATTATTGTCTTAAAAAACTTTTTTCATCAAACCACATCAACAATCCATTGGCTATCAAGCAATGCGTGAATGACTTTTCTACGACTATTTTTGACTAAGCTACAAGCTTCTTAAAATGAGGACTATGGCTTTAAAGTTTAATTAAAATTTAAGCTTAATTAATTAATAACTCTGTGAAAGCTATCAGTTCATCGAACGAACTAAATAGGTAATTAGGTGTCCTCTTTAAACTGACATAGTTGGAGGGCATATATTGGAGGGGTAGATCCCTTTAAATGAGCAAAAAACATTAAAAGAAAATGTTCTGCATTCGTCAAAGCTTCCACACATAAGTGAGTAAACAAGACCTCTCTACAGATTTCTTTTTTATCGTTAAGTATGCTCTTTAAACATAAGAACAAAGTCTCTAACATTAAACCACTTTATGTTTCTCTCACTTGAGAGCAATGGGCCGGCCTCTGAAAGTTTAGTTTTTATTGTAGAAAAGGTGAGAAAAACAAACAAACGTCAAGTCTGGTATATAAACACCACCATTTCATTCACTTTGTTCATGTCAAATTCATAGACGGATAAAGGCAAACAAACATGTTAAACTGTAAAAATACAAACAATGACAAAAAAAACAAGAAAATTTCCTAAAAAAACAAACATGTTCGTTATTTGTATGAATATTTCCGTTACATTGTTTCAATCTAAAAGCAAATCAAGAAATATTACATTTAGATTAAAGCTAACATTGAATATGCACACTTACAATATCGTCAATTTTTAATATAGATCTCACAGTCTCTGTTGCCAATCTAATTGCGCTAACAGAAACTAACAATGGTTGGACAACATTTTCTTCTAAAATATTTGATATTAAACCCTAGAATGAGAGAAATAAGGAAATCATGAAGAAAAGGATGAAGGGTATGCTAGTTACTTTTCTAACATTGATTCCAGCGTTTCTATCACCGTTCGCATGTCTGTTTCGAAGTTCTGTTACGGTCGCTATTGGATTTAATCCAGCATTCTCGGCTAATGTATACGGAATAACTTCGAGCGCTTCAGCAAATGCACGAACACAATATTGATCAACACCCGATAATGTTTGAGCGTATTCGGCTAAACGTACAGCTAATTCAATTTCGGGCGCCGCACCACCAGCAATCAATGCTCTAGACAAAAAAAATACACAATGTACATAGTTACCACAACAATAAATAGATACTATACCGTTCTTTAACAAGACATCGAATAACGCAAAGTGCATCGTGAATCGAACGATCAGCTTCTTCGAGAACAAGTTTATTTGAACCACGTAATAATATCGATACTGTATGACCTGGATGAGCAACCCCAGTTATCTAACAAAAATAAATTTTCAAATCTAGATACAAACGTACTATATTGTACAAGTGATAATCTCTCTAATCTGACCAAATACAGACTTTTGACAGTGTACATTGACACTTTATTTGAAAAAAAATGTTACCTTATTAATATAATCAAGATGTAGCTGTCATAATACATCTATGTTATCATTTGACTCTGATTGTATTTACTTACTTTAACAATTTTATCGTTTCCACATGATAGTTCTTCCACTAATTCCGCTGTTCCAAGCATATCTTGTTGAAAATGATCTAAACTTGCTATTGGCTTACATCCTAATGTCTATAGAAACGAAATACATTAGTGAAGAGTTACTGTGCTTTTAATAGAGAACAACATACTTTAGCAACAAATGGAACATCTTCACGTTCAACATCTTTAACAATCATTATTTTCATTTTTGCTAAATAATGTACAGCTAAATCACTAATGGCATCTCTAAACAAAAAACGAAATCATTGATTATTTCCAATATTCGTTTACTAACAAACACAAATTTACCTTAATATTGACTTTTGTATTAATAAAACATTGCAATTTGTTTTTTTTATTTGTTTAACAATATTCAGAATATACTGTCGTTCTTCTTTGATGATACGATCCATTTGCGCATGATCACTAATTATAACAGTGTTCTCCATCTACAAAAAAAAACAACAGAGAAAATTAGATACACTGAACACTTGACCAGAGCAAAACAAACATTTACATCAGTTTTTGGTGGTGAAATACAAAATTGTATTAGAGCAATTTTTGCTCTTTCAACACGTGTTGGTGCACCAAAGCCAATCGTCTTTTGATCAAGAACTAGACCATCAATTAATTCTGTATCATCAATTGTACCACTAGAAAAAAATTAATCATTTAAGTAAAATATTTTAACAAAAAATAAAATTCTATTATTAACCCAAGTTTTTTCACTATTCTAATATCGTGTAAATCAACATTTGTGTCAACAGCTGGATCAATTACTTTTAATACCGCTTGAACAGCAATCGGTGCAAGTAAATGTGTATGTTGAGAAACAACCTATGAAATGGACATCAATAGGTTAAGGAGTCACTTGATTTGACAAAAAACATTATAATTACTTTTGAATTTAAGGCTGTTGATGCACTTTGATGTAATGACTCACGATCGGTTAGAAGAACAGGCACACTGATACTTTTTAAAATTTCTGCAGCTTTTTCGGCTGCTTTTTCGAATGCTTCAGCTATTGTTGTCGGATGGAGACCTTAAAAAAAAGATAAATTAATATGATGATTTAATATTTTTCAACAAGCTAATTTCACTTCTCTTTAACATTTACTCTAAAATGGCGCTTATTAACGTCAGAACATTCTAGATATTTGTTTTGTCGGAAAAGAGTAGTGTAAGAAACTTTCTTGCTTATGGTACATCTCAATAGATAAAAAATAAACAAACCTTTTGACACTAAACGTGCTGCGGCATCGAGTAAACTTCCAGCAATAACAACGACAGTTGTTGTTCCATCACCAGCTTCGACATCTTGCGCTTTGGACAATTCAACAAGCTAAGAGAAAAAATAATTGTGAATTATACAGTGAATGATTATTATTAATATTTTACCATTTTCGATGCTGGATGTATCACAGACATTTGCTTAAGTATTGTTGCACCATCATTTGTTATTGTCACATCACCATTACCATTCTGTATCATTTTATCCATACCACGTGGTCCTAAACTTGTTCGTACTGCATCAGCAACAGCTAAAATAAGAAAAACTTTGAGTAATTAATACTAAACATAGAAAAGAGATAGAGCATCCTACCTTTCGCAGCCGTAATATTACTATTTCGAATAGCATCTGGCCGTGCTCGTGTTTTAAAATTTCCATCTCCCATACTGCCACTTCCTGCTTTATAAGCATTTCCACCTCCTCCTCCTCCTCCAGCAACAGAAGCAAACGATTTTTCACCAGATGTCATGTTTGAAAAACACTTTAGATCTGAAAATACAAACAATACTCTGACAAAATACTTTAGTAAATAGCGTTTAAATGTCTTAGTTACTAGAATAATCATTGCAAATCAAAGGTCGATAACTAAATCGATGATGAACACGAACAAAATTCTCTAGGAAAAACTAATTTTCTTAAGAGTTAAGTAGGAAATGTGGCTGTTTTATAAAAAGAGCAAATGAACAATCACTCAAAATGTCGGTCATGAGATGTAGTCCTATTCGCATTCTTCTAAGGATCAAGTTAAGGAATGTTTAATGTACTTTTTATTTTCTAATTCAAAATATTTTCCAACCGTTGAACGTTTAAAATTTTGAATCACAAAATAAAAAGTTCATTAAACATTCCTAAACTTGATTCACATTTTGTATCAAATTACTCAAAAGGATCAAGCAACATTAAAAGACGAAGTTTTTTTATTTGCATGTCATTAAAAAAAACACAGAACTACATGAAGACTATGATCAAAACGTACTGAATTCATATAAACTCGGACTCTTCTATATTTTGAATAAAACTGTCAAGTTTGAGCTTTTTATAATAGCTTTTCATCTATCTTCGGTCAAATATGTGTGACTAAATTGTGACATTGCAATAATAAGTGTATTCTACGTTCCTCTATCTTTTCAATACGAAATCAAAATTTTTCTGCTACAGATGCATGAACAGTTCGATAATTTTTTATTACTGCTAAACACAATCGGAGCTATGTTAATATTATAAGGTTAATTTTCCTGACGATCTGGCGGCTATCTTTCCTTAAGCAGATTCTTTTTTTTTGGGTAATATCAACAATAGGCAATTTTTTCTTGTTTTATAACAAATTTTTTTACATTTCCGCAAATAAAGATACACACATACAGACAAGAAAGGAAATGAAAGCGGTACATTTTCAGATTTAATACTCAACGATCAAAAAAAAACGAACAATTGCTGTAGCAATGAATGAATGATAGTATAGACAACGACGAAAAGAAAGAATTCAAAACGTCAAATGGGAGAAAGTTTGTTGAACTTATAGAATCATTGTTCTACAAAAAGGTTAGAATACACATTGAAATTTTAGATATACAAAGTTTCAATTGTACCAAGCGAGTTTTTTCAGTGGAAAAGATTCGAAGAAAAAGAATAAATCAAAAGGAAAAGTAGATTGAAATATTTTTTTGTTCATCAAATTTTGGTTATCATTTTTGTCTAATATACTCTTTCACGATGTTCACGACGTCTATATTCACGTGGAGACGGTGATCTTTGAGAATAATAATGTGAACGATGATATTCATGATGACTATTTCCACCTGAACCATGTTGTTGACGATATTGACGTGCCGCTTCATGATGATCATACAAACATCGATCAGAAAAACGACAAAATCCATGACGAAGATAATACCGACAGGGTAATGTTCTAAAGAAAAGAGAAATTTAAAACACTACTACGACAGTTAATTATTCCACTTAAACAAAAACAAATCGCGTAACAATAAACATGAATACTCACCAAAGAAAGTGTTAAAACAAAGTAATGCAGTCTATGCATAATCGTACATAAATCTTAAGTGTACATCATTTTGTAAGACTTAGTAAGTATTAAAATATAGAAACAACAATGCACACTTTCTAAATATTAGCCAGCCAGCATATCATTTAAATCGGTATCGATGGTGAGTACACTTATTTAAAAAGCAGATAAGTTGATAAACAAAACATTAAAGTATGCAAATAAATCAGTTCTTGATGAAAATAATCGAATTTTTTTCCAAAAGGGATACCAATAATGTGCTTGTGTGCAAATTTTCTGACGAAACTTTACTGAGGTAAACTACATGTTGAAAATACTCAAAATAATTTTGGAGGAGTATAAATGTAGATGGTACGAAAGAATGACAAGTTTAAATGCAGAAAGTAATTTCGAAAGAGTGAAAAAAATCGTTAGTATCACAATTCTATCGAAAAATTTGACAAAATCCGATTTGAATCAATCAACTCAATTATGAAAATACACCTTTCTGCACGATTTAACTTTTAACAAAAGTTTTCTAATTTTGATTTTTAATTTAAAAAAGATATGTCAAGAAAATTTGCACATAGTCTAATAAATAATTGCAATATAAATTGTGTTATTCATGAGCTATATGTAACTTTTCCCATTCATTCATTATAAACACATAGTTAAATTCTAAGATGGGTTACATATTGATTTGTGTGTATAAACACATAGGATAAATGCGTGTTGTATGTACTTTTTCATATAAAGCCTGATTTTCATTTCTAATTCTGTAGATATCGACAACAACAACAACACGTTAGTAACTTTTTCTGGTTAGCTGCTGTGTATCGACTGCTTAATTTTAAAGACTGATTAAGATCCGTGCACATAAATGTAAATTTATGATATAGAGCACTAAAATCCACTCATTATGTCACAATATAAGTAATATGTATATATCCTACAAATACGAGAGATGAAATAAACAAAACGTAACTAAATAGAAAAGAGGTGAATAACTCTTTTTTTGAACACAACTGTTGCAAGCATAATAGTAGAAAAAAAAAGAATGTACTTACTTCAGATGATTTTTATGCTTTTTCACAATTTTGTATTTATCGTCTTTGTTTTCAAACCAATGTTTACTGGGTGTTATGAACGATGAACGTGTTTTACACACCGGACAGCTTCTGAATGCAAGTTACATTGTCGGAAAGAACAAAACAAAGAATTTTTCTTTCAGGAAAGAACACGTACCTAGCTGATTCATGATTACTGTATTTTGAACGTTTCCAACCAACAATGCACTCATAACAAAACACGTGATCACAATTATCCAATATGCCAAATAATCGTTTTGAATTTGGAACATTTTCTAAGCAAATACCACAATCATATCGTTCTAATTCTGCACTACCACTACGACGTTTTGATTTTTTCTTTTTTGACGAAGAACTATGTTCATGGCGATGTTTCGATGAAGCCGCTGTTGCACCCTCAATAGTACTGACATTATTTATACCTGTGCGAGAACTTGTTTTCGTCGCAAGATGATCGGGGGAAACTGAACGTGGTGAACGTGTGCCACTATGGCTTAAACTTGGCGAACGACTTCTTGTTATACTTCGTGAACGGCTACGACTGCCACTCATTTCACGATAACGCTTTGGAGCACGTGATGATTGTTGAGGTGGAAGAGAAGCAGCACCTCCTTGAAAAGGCGGTCCATCTTGATTTTCACGATAACCACCTGATCTAGATTTGCCGGGACGTTCAACAATAGGATCCGGAGAAATAGAACGTTCTGATGACATACTCTTTGTTTTATATGTTAATCTATAAAAGGTAAATCTGAAAACTAAGAAAACAGGTACAGTTACGCGTGAATTTTTCTTAATGAATTCAACAGGACACTAAAGTCTAAATTTGATGGCAGGAGCATATAACACGCATAATTAATACTAAAATAATGAATGAACAAGTAGAGTGAACTTCACAACGGAAAAACAGTTAGAGAATTAGTTTTCTTAGCTAACTCTTAAATAAACATGTAAGTCTCGATTTAATGTTTATTTAATTTCTGGTGTTCCATCATACTACATTTTAAGTGTCGATTTAAGTCTTCGTTTTGGCTCAGGTTTGTCTTACGCAATTGTAAGTTCAATGCTCACTTACAGCAACTCCAACGCAATAAATTGAGTTATGACTTAAAAATGAAAAGTTTTCAACCATTAGAAAAAATATTACTCTTATTTTTCTTTTTTCTGTTTTCATTTCCAAGTCATAACTATAAATTGGCACTCTGAAACCAGCAATTGATTGTGAATGGTCCAGAAACTGTTGATGAGACAGAATCTGCTAAAAACAATATTTAACAAAACTTTTCATGGAAAAACTACCTTTTACACTGAAAAACACATATCAGTCCCATTTTTACGATGCTTTGTTTGCAGCAAATGCATTAGTGAGTTGTTTCACTACTGCCTTTTGTTTGATGTGAGTTGCACGGCAACACACAGTCAAAACTTTTTCATATGGCAGAAATGTTAGCTTTTAGGAATTTTTGTATAAATGGATTAACTTGTTGGAAGAATATCTCCTTTCACGTTAAGAGTAATTCAGTTGAAACATATAATTAGAAAAATTTTAAAAAATTATACTATGTAACAAGGAAAACTCAGAACGCTCGGTGATTTTCCCACAAATTTCAAGTATTCTAGCATAGAGTTTCTAATGACCAATTGAGCATACGTAGTAATGTGAGAAAAAAGCAGAAGATTAGTAACTGAGAAAGAGATAAGTGTACATAGATTTGATGGGGTATGTTTTGCGTTATGAGCCAAGATTTCGTTAAAAATACTGCTCTTGTTCCCTCTTTTCAAAAAGAAGCGAACACAAAACGTGAAACACAACAGAAATTGAACGTATGAGTCGAGTCTAGAGCAAGTAGGTCAAAATGTAGCCCTTAAAATTCTCTATCGATAGGCTGTAGTGAGCATTTTCTATCGTTATTTCTGTGTTTTTAGTTGTTGCATACAATTGATTTTGTAATTGTTTAAATTTAAGAATATTGTAATGAATTTATTTTCGTTTGTAAACTTTTAAATCAAATCAATTAAAACTGTTTATCATTTTTATTATACGAGAACATATTGTATTATCGAAAATATGTTGAATATTGTTTGTCGGGAATTTTACTGCACATACGATAATTTCGTTCTATTTTTTAGATGGATGAACGACATTGGTGGATTGCGGAAAAAGTTGAACAAACATTTTGTATCGATAAAACATTAGATGCACAATTTACTGAACAATATTTTCGTCGCACCGATGTGTTAGACAAAATAAATAGCTTTTTATTTGCCAAAGGATCAAATAAATTATTTTTTTATACAACAAAAGATCATTTAAACGATAAACAAATATCTTGTACACAAACAATCATAAATGAATATGACTTTATTTCTGAACCATTGGACAATTTAATTATATTGTTTTTTTTACGATCCGATACAAGTAGCGATGCAACAACAACACAAATTGGTAATGATATTTATTGTGGTGAAATAAAAAATGCATCACAAATAACCAGTTTATTGTATTCCCAAACATTATTGCCATTATTTAAACAACAGTTAAATAATAATATTGATCAGGCACATTCTATTGTTAAAACAACAATAATCAATAATATGGAAAAACATATCGATGCAATTAATACTACATGTCATTTATTGCAAAAAGACAAAAATCTTGTAAGTACTCTGAATATATTTTTAGATTTCATGAAATTTTATATTGAACATTTTTCAGTTTTTGAAACGTGCAGATCCTGAAGTATTGAGTTCACTGAAACAATCACGTTGGACAGCCGATAGTCCAATAATAAAATATTGTGAAAATCTAGTGCTTACATGGATAACATCAATCGAAGCTGTTCTTAGCGATATTTATGGCGATGAGTAAGTGTCAAATTTTAAACTTATTCTTCTTAAATTCATCTCGTTGTTAATTATCATTTTAGTGCAATTCATCCGTCTCTTGGTCCTCTAAGTGAAATTGATCGATGGAACCGAAAACAACGTTTAATTACAAATTTATTAGAACAATTAAAGTCAAAAGAATGCAAAAGTGTCATTGGCGCACTAATCACTTCAAAATCAAAAGTTATACGAAAATGGAAAACAATCGATTCAAGGTAAAGAGCATTGAAAATCAATTAATTCAATACAATGTTGAATAATTTTTTCATTTATTTTATTTAAGCATTACAGATGCTCAAAATGAATGTCGTGATAAAACAAAATTTCTCGAATCAATTCGACGTTATTTAGAAAATTTACAAGAGGATGCACATCCACAACACTGTGCTGTGGCTGTATTGCCATCACTGTGTGATGCTATGCGCACCGTTGAATCGGTATCACGTTATTATGCGAGACAAGGATATCTGGGATTAATATTTGCTAAAGTAAAATGTTGTGTTGCTGTTGTTTGTATATTCTTGACTAATTAATTTTCTTTTTGTAGATTACAAATCAATTAGTAAAAATATGTAAGAAACATATAGAAGATGGCACAAAACAATTTGAAAACGACGATGAATTATGGAAAATATTATTTTTCGAAATAGACAATGGTCAAATCGATGAAATGAAAGAAAATTTTCATCTTGATAAAAAGGTGAATTTTATATGAAATATTAAACGGGCAAGCGCAACGATATTACTCTGCTCAATTTTTCTCACCATGAAATAAAGCTTTTACTCTGCCATCATTTGGCCTAGTTTTCGTTATTAAAAATTACTGCTTCAGTTTTTTTCGTTCGATTTTTTTACGTGGTACGTTTGTTCGAAGAAATTGCTTTTGAGTTTTTATCATAAAAGAGGATGACGAGACCAAACTAAAAAGTTTTTTCTTTATTGAACATACAAGTCATAGGTACTTGATCGAGGAAGTGGCCCAGAGTATCATATCTGATATACAAGGTCAGTGCCAGCGACAAGAACTGAAAACTCAAAAATTTCAAAAAATGACATAAACTACTTTGTGGGGTTAAAACTAGAAAAAACGTTTTCTTTATGGCTTAAAAACGGTCAATCAGCCGGTCGTTAATGTAGATGTAGTCGCTTTTGCTCATCTAGGTGAAGACATTATTATAGCCATTCACATCTCATATTCTTCAGGAAAAGGTTATTTTTTCTGACGCGTGTGTTATTTTTACACACATTTTTCTAGAATTTCTGCTCGAAAACTTCACTATACTGGTGAAGAGAACTATTCCTTTCATAAGCGATATAATGATCACTATGTCTTTTTGTTTAAAAAATATCACTCATTTGTGACATAACAGTTCTCAGCTGTTCGAACAACGTCCAATAGAATACAGGTGGAAACTTGTGGTTTTTATAATCATGTAGATGACAAGCTGTCACTACATCTATCTGTCTAAAAACAGTTAAAAACCTGAAACTTTAAGTCAATGTAATGTATCATTCATTTTCAGGATGTTAAACGGTTCAAAGAAATGTCAAAAACGGCTATTATGGAATCGTCTAAACAATCACGTGAAAGTGTTTATAAACGCATTAAAAATTGTCTGTTACTTCAAGCATGCTATAAAGGTAAATAGAAATAAAATATTAATAAAGCATATACTAACAGAGTATATTTTATAATTTAAGAAACATTTCGAAATTTACGTGATGCATTGGGTGGCTCTCAAATGTTGAATACAACATTTTCGGCGACATCATCATCCACATTTAGCGGAACGAAGTATATCACATACTTTTTTTGTTTTACAAAGTCAATAAACTCATTTTTGTAATATGTTTTAGCAGCGTTAACGCTCGTAATGAACAAAGTCAATTACGTTATCATCCACATAATGCCGTCGGAATACTAATGTCTGAAGATGATACAATATTCAAAAATTTGGATGATTTTTGTAAAAGACTCGAACAAGCACTTGATATGACTGTTACATTGAATCAATTTTCACAGTAAGATTATATTTGATTATACAAAAAACTATTCATTCACTCTTCTCTATCAATTGTAGACTTAAAGTATCAACAATAAGATTACCAAAACCAAAACGAGAAGATTTTACAACGGCAGAAACATTGATACAACGAAATATTAAAACAACAAAAACTGGTAAGAAACCTTAACGATATTTAAATAGTTTTCTATTGTTGTTCATCTGTGATAGATCAGCAAATGAATGATGATGATAATGATCAACAAGAAAATATTTCAGATGAAGGTATAGACGAAGGTAGTGATGAAACTGATAGTTATACAATGTCTTATTTGAATACATCGTCTGTATCAAAAGAAGATCTTGAATTAATGAGTAAGTTTTTATAAATTTTTATAATTTTGTTTTGTAATATATTTTTGCTTCCTTATAGAAGCTTATTATGATGAAAGTGCTGGAATGTCGACAAGTCCCACATTAACAGCATTTATTGCTGATGGTGTTGATCGATTAAAATTAAATTTAAATGCTACAACATCGACACAACAATTTTTATCTGTTGATACAAAAGATGATCAAACAAAGTATGTCTATTGATTAATATATAAAATATAATATTAAATAGTTAATTATTATTTTTTTATTTATTTATTTAGATTTGATACAATTTATAAAAATTTTCAAATAGTAACAAAAGAATTAGAAAATTTAATATCAGCCTATATAAATGTTATATTTTCAAAACAAAAACGAACACAAGAAGGTTTATTTATTTTATCTAGTTTTGAACCTGTTTGTGAACGTAATCATTTACGTTCAATTATTCACGATAGTTATGTAAATTTATTTATAAATTTTGAAAATGATTTACAAGATACACGAACAGCTTTTGAAACATGTAAAGAAAATCCGCCTATTCCTCGAAATGCTCCACCAGTACCAGGTAAATATTTTGTCTATTTATTTTTTTTTTTTTTTTTGTTAAAATTCAAATATAATAATTGATATTAATTTAGGTGCTATTGCTTGGCTTCGTACATTATTAAAAAAAATTGAAGATTCAATGAATGTATTTAAAGTAAATAAATATATTATGAGTTTAGGCAATTTTCCTCTTGTATCAAAATTATATAATCGTACGGCAAAAACACTTTTAGTTTATGAACAATTATTATTAGAAAAATGGAAAGAAAAAATTGATTTATGGAAAGAACATTTAAATGCAAATTTATTATATATTGATTTAGATACAAAACAAATTCATATTAATGCAAATACACAATTATTTTCAATATTTGATGAAGTTAAATGGTTTCAACGATTAGAAGTTGACATACCAAAAGCGGGATTACTCTGTATGCAAAAAGTAAGAAATAAATATATTTTAAAATTAATTAATTTATTAAAAATAATTTAAATAAATATTTGAATTTTTTTTCTTCTTTTTTATTTTATTTTAAGGAACAAACATTTAAACACTATAAATCATTATTAGAAGATACATTATATCGATTTAAAGATTTACAATCACGAATATTTGAACCATTTTATAATTTATTTTTAAAACAAATAAAAGATTATCATTTGGCAATAGAACCGGGTTTACGTACATTGACATGGTCAAGTTTAAATATTGACGCCTATATAGCCAATGTTCATCGAGCTCTCGATCGTTTTGAACAAACAATAGATAATGTTAATAAACTTATTGAAGAAAGAATTGATTATGTACTTGATAATGATTTATTAAATTGTACACTATTTAATATTGATTATATAAAATCAAAAATTTGGTTACCCGGTGAATTTTTATCTACAATGAAAATACATATTCAAAATGAAGCAACTCTAATTGGTAAAAAATTATATGATGTACAACGAACATTTTCAGATGTTGAAGATATATTAAAATTAACAAATAAAAATACGTCACGATCTCGTACACCAAGTACACGTCGAACAACAACAACAACAACAGCAACACCAACAACATTAACTACACAGTCGACAACAGTTAATCCAGCTATACAAGAATTTATTAAATATTATAAAAAAAAAATTACATTAACAATACAACGAATAATTGATAATACTCTAAAATTATATATTGAATTGGCTACGGTTAATGAAACAAAATATTTAATTGATGAAACAAAAATGATACGCTATTTATTTGAAGGACAAGAAACGGAAGATATGGAAGTAGATACAAATAGAATTCGGTAATATAACCTTAAATGTGATGAACAAAAATATTGTGTAGTTGTTTTAAGCCCAACCATCACTCCCCCACCCTCAGAAATTATCTTCGACACCGTACATCCAATTTTGGCCAAACTTTCCGTAAATGTTAGATTTAGTGAGTTACGAGAATAAAAAAAAAATATTTTTGTCTCCAAATCTTACGATTTAGGAGTTTTCCAGAGATCAAGATTCAAAAAGAAAGGATCCTGAAGTGTTTCCCAAGAATTTTTAGTATACTTTAAGCTGGAGAATGGTTTGTTTTATTTTAGAATGGTTTGCTTTTCTCTTTTGAACAAAAAATGAATGAATTCTCCACAACAAACCGCTATAAAAAATCTTGGGACGCACTTCAGGTGTAACTGTTGTATAGAGAAAACGCTGTATTAAATGATATATAAAATGCTCAGTTTTAAAACTTTTCAGACTTGTAGGAAAATACTTGTAGCTTTTGATGCAGGGTTACACAAAGCTGTGCGAGATCTTATTTTGATCAGAAAATTTTTCTCTATAAATCTGCGCGTGCAGAAAAAGATTTAATTGCATAAGTATCCAGGAAAAAAGCTATTATTTGAAGACCAGATTTTCGAGGATTCTAGAAAACTTGCTCGAAAGCCGCGAAAAATCACGTATATAACCGAAAGCGATACAGATTCTGAAAGTAGACACTTTAGGCTATCTTTCCATGTGATTATCTCAAAATTGTGTTTTTGACCGAAAATCACCATTTCGGAGGGCGAGCGGACCCTTTAAAAAAAAATACATTTTTCTTTTTGTTCTTTTAGTGTCAGTTGTACAATGCAATATGCAATTCCAGAAATAATCATTGAACCAAATTTATATTATTGTCAAAAATGTATTTGTGATGTGGCCACGATTATTATTGATAGTGAAAAACTTATGAGTGGTAAGAAAAAATAATGTATATCATAATTTTTAACTAATTTATTTTTCTATTCATTTTTATTTTATTTAAGAAGTATCCGGTTTAACTGTTGAGAGTGGAAAACAATCTCCAGCAACAAAAATTAATGATGAAAAATTACAATTAATGTTTGAACGTTTACAACATATTGAAAATGATGTAACAACAATTGCGTCAACATGTATTAAACATATTCGTACATTTGATTTTTTATGGCATGATGATCTTCAATTAACATTTCAATCATTAGTTGAAGAAGAAAAAGATGATAATTCATCAACAATAATACCATTGACAAGTGTTGAACGTCGACAAGTATTACAAACTGAATTAGAACGTCTTGTTAATACTGAACAACTTATTGACATTATTCCTGGACAAATTCAAATTGGTTGTGTGTGTATTCAAACATTACCAATTATTAATTCATTACGTACATTTGCTTTTAGTTGGAAAACACAATATTCTAAATTATTACATTCTTATGCTAAACAAGAATTATTACAAGTAATTGAATATCGTCAAGCAGTACAATTAAGATTTAAGGATGATGTATCAACATTGGAACAATTAAATGATGCTCTAACATTATTAGAAGAATTAGCTGAAATGGAAAATAAAATTGATCAAATTTATTTACCAATTGAAAATACCTATTCACTATTAGAAAAATATCGAATTCGAATACCAAGACAAGAATTAGAAGAATGTAAACAATTGAGAGAAAAATGGTCAGAATTAATGTTTAATGCATCAAGAGTTCGACAACAATTATTACAAGAACGTCGTCAACAATTAGAACAAGAATTAGATAAACAAGTAAAATCATTTGTTGTTGAAGTTATAAGATTTAGAAATTCTTTTGATGTTTCTGGACCATCTGTACCTGGTATTGATCCATTAGAAGCAGCCAAACGTTTAAAAGAATTTCAAATTAATTATAGTTTTATGCATAAACGTAAACAAACATTAAATTCAATATCAACATTATTTAGTTTACAACCAAAACAATTTCCAGAATTAGATAAAACAGGAGAAGTAAGTTAGACATTGATAGACAAAGTCTTAAGAGTATCTTCCTCTTTTTCAACAAAATTTTTTATTTTAAGTTGAACATAGTTTGATATAGATAAAAGTCTAAACTATAAAATAACACCACTCCCAATATTTCACAACTTTTTCTTTGCAAAAGTTATGAATTTTTTAAATTTTTACTCAAGAAAACTTTGTTTTATTTTTAGTGTCTTCACAACTTTTTCTTATAGTAAGTCAGGTAGAGCAAAGTGTTCTCTTAACAATGACACTACTTTCAAAATTTCCCAATGGTTTAGAATTAGAAATTAGAAAATTTAGAATCTAAGATAGGATCTGAAATAATTGCGGTAAAAATTAGGGCTCGACCGAATCATTTTTTCGAAGGGTTTTAACGTGACTGGATGAAAACTGGTGTCTTCAAAAAACACCCATGGAATCTTATGTGAAAAAATTTGGGGCAAAAAAGCATCGATTTTCTTTTTCAATATTCTATTTCTCTGATAAAAATTTGGACTAAATCGGACTTCCTCTTAAATTAATCTGACACAGTTGACAATGTTCCAAATTCTAACGCGTTCAAGAAGTGGCTTAAGGGCCCCCCCCCCCCCTCAGAAATTATCTCCGACACCGTGCATACGATCTTGACGAAACTTTCCATAAATGTTCGGCACAATGAGTTACGGGAATGAAAAGACTTTTTGTGTTCAAGTCTTACG